TCTACCTCTCCGTAGGCCCTCCAATGTCAACCTCTCACACCTCCTCATCGGGGCGTCTGTGCTCTTCTCATCGGGGCGTCTGTGCTCCTCCTCCTCGCATGACCAAACCACCTAAGCCACGCTTCTCGTATCTTGTCCTTAATAGGGGCCACACCCACCTTATCATGAATAACCTCATTTTTGATCCTATCTAACCTGGTGTGCCCGCTCATCTATCTCAACATACTCATCTCTGCTACCTTCATCTTCTGGACATGAGCGATCTTGACTGGCCAATACTTAGCCCCATACAACATCGTTGGTCTGACCACCACTTTGTAGAACTTACCCTTAAGTTTCGGTGGGACCTTCTTGTCACACAAAACACCGGAAGCGAGTCTTCATTTCATCCATCCCGCCCCAATACGATGTGTGACATCTTCATCAATTTCCCATCCCCCTGAATAATAGACCCAGGATACTTAAAACTTCCTCCCCTAGGGTTGTTTAATATTTTGAATAAATACTTTGAATTTGTGTACCTTTCATGTAACTTCTGTATCTGTTTATATGAGTTTCAAATGAAAAATTTATCCATGATCAGTTTCATCATGAGAATTGGTCAAGTTGATTCTCAAAAAGTGAAGGGACAACAATTTTGGACAGGAGGGAGTATCACTTTTCTCCCTCGGAGCGATCGCTCAATTTAAAAGAAAAGATACATTCCAGACCCCGGCGCTTTATTTAGTGATTTTCGAATTAAAGTGTTTAGATGCCACTGATGTATGGATAATTGGATATTACTTTGAGAAGCAGGTTTTGCACAGTTTTCTATCTCAGAAAAAAATTTGAATCGTTTTACCTGTCATTTTCTAAATAAATAACAGTTTCTGTAACTATATATAGGGGTGGTTTTACTTTCATACTGGGGATCGATGGTTTGTGAACTTTTGGAAGGGAAAGGCTAATGGAGAAGGACGTTTCTATTCAAAGCTTGGTGATGTTTTCTTTGGCCACTTTAAAGATGGATGGCGCCATGGCCGTTTTCTTTGTATCAACATTGACGGGACGAGGTATGTGTGTTCAGTTTTACCAACTTTTCTACTTTGTGTATCGTTTTTACACCTTAAAATACCAAAGGCTGAACTGGAATGTAAAGTTGCATTAACGCTGAGATACTGGTGCGTGTACCAATTCAGTTCATATTTGAAGTAGCGTCCTGAGGAATAGACTCCTGCCTCACATTTTTAATTTCTTTTTGGTGCACCCATGAAGTTCCAATTTGCATAGAAGATTGGGTACCTTTTGTGGAGAATCATATCATGTTGTAGATTCTCTAAGTGTTGATATGTTGATTTTACCATTATTAATAAAACTACTTACTGTACAAATAAATGAAGATCGATGCATGTTATCGTTTAAATTATACTTGTCGGGACTCGTTATTTTCCTTGAAAGAAAAGTGTGATGGTACTTAGAAGAACTAAATTTGGCATGTAGGTAACATTACGCTTCCAGGATGTCATGAAAAAAATTCTTGATCTAGTCCATGATAAATGTTATACTCAGGTTCTTTTGCACTTTCACCCTTAATATTTCAATGCATGTTTCTATTTGCCTTCAACTCCTGATGACTTAAAATTTTTGAACTCATAGTCGACTAATCTTTCTTAATCTTACTGGGTATGTTGTTGCTGTTGTTGTTTCTTAATCTTACTTATTCCTGGGCTGATCTATGATGCTTACACATGTACACTTCTTATGTTATTAATGTAATCTTCATGCTCTGCAGGAGTACTGAAGTATGGGATGAAGGCCTTCTACAAAGCCGAAAGAATTTGGATTCTGACACCGGAACAGGATAGAGTCTGTCTGGTATAATTTTAAAAATATGCTATCCTTCAGCTATCTGGTGTGTCCGCAAGAAACAAATGCAGAAGAATATCAACCGAGGGCTGATGTCTGTAAGAAGAGTTTTCTTAAACCAGCTCTACTGCTCATAGCGCCTATGCTTTAGTAGTAGCAGCACTCAAGTTTAATAACACTACTGTTGTATGACACCCTTTAAGCATTTGTTTGTTCTTTATCTGTACTAATGGAATCGAAATTGAATCTCCAATTGTACACATATCTTGTATATTCTGTAAATATAGTAATTTAAGTTTTTTTCTTTTCTTTTGATGGACATTGCCTCTTGTCGCTTTACTTGCAGAGCCTTGTATATTTTGGACTTAAATGTTCTTAACTTGTCAACCATGTATTATGAGCTTGATTTGAGTTCTGGATTGGAAGTAGCTTACTTTTCCACAAGGTCTCCGGGACTACAAAACTATCCTGTGAATCACTCTTACCTAATTCTCGGTTTACTTTGTTATTTTCATTTTTTAAAGTATTAATCATAAGATAAGAACTCCCATCTGTTCCGTACACCTTCGACGAGACTTGTGTTTCATGAATTCTTTCATTCTTATTGTTCCAATTAATAGGATCATTTCCTAGAGTACAACTTTGGTGCACATTACATTATATACACTCAATAGAATTAAACGGGATTTACCTGCAAGGCAACAAAAAAACGTATGGCGGGCTTTTAAGAAGGAAGAAAGATAAGGGAGAGTGGAGGCTGCCAAAGAAGAGAGCTCACCAGACTTTCTGGCCTAACTCCGTAGAGAAGAAGAAGAAGAAGAGGAAAAAATGGGTGAGGGACGGGATCAAAGCGAGGGAGAAAAGAAAGAAAAGAAGGGGAGAGGGGAGAAGAGGGATGGGGTAACAAGTGACAGGTGCTGGAATTAAAGGATAGGAGGTTTTTATTTTATAAACATAGTCAATGGTCAAACGTATTTATTAACATTCATGTTTGTCAAGTAAAAATATAAAAATGAAGAAAATGAGAGTTGGGGGATGACTTTAATTAACTTATAAGAACCATAATCATGGTAAATTCGTTTTCTGGGGACTCAGGAATCAAATGAGATTAACATTGGAATAAAAAATGAGATTAACATTGAAATGAAACCATCTTTTGAAACATGTCGATCATATCCTAGAAATTTACCAACTCCATCTCTCACCTCCTGTCCTCAAAACGGTCTTTTCTTATCGATTGTCTCCGTATTCCTTGTCANATATATATATATATATCCTTGAAGATTTAGAATGCTATACAACAAGTAATGGAGAGTTTGGTTAACAATGGGTCGTTTGGTACGACGGATAAGCAAAAATAATCTTGGGATAAAACTTAGTATCGCCTTATCCCTTGTTTGGTTACTAATCACTAGATAAGTTGTTTTCGGATTAAAAATAGTACTAGGATAATTTTTACATGCCATAGGGTGGAATAGTAAACCCAGAATAAAACAGTAAAATTGACAATCTCAGGATTAATACAATATACCAAACAATCAATAAGAAATAATACCAGGATAACTAATCCCATCATAACTTGTAACGACCCGACCGATCGTTTTGAGCAGTAGCGCGTCATTCGGCGGAGGCCTTGAGTAGCTTCACTTCATGTATTATGACTTGTACGTGTGGTCAGAATTGAATTCTGGGAAGTTCGGATTTGATTCAGAAGGAAATTCTCAATTCATAAGCTTTAAGTTGGAAGAGTTGACTAGGATTTGACTTTTGAGTAAACGACCTTGGAATCGGGATTTGAAGGTTCCAACAGGTTCGCACAATGATTTTGGACTTGGGTGTATGTTCGGGTTGAGTATCGGGTGGTCCGTGAGCATTTCGGCGTTTATTGTGGAAAGTTAGCATTTTGAAAGTTTTAGAAATTCCCAAGTTTGACTTGAAGTGGACTTGGTGTTATTACCATTCGGGAATCCAAGCCTTGGAATAGGTTGGTATTGTGATTCATGACTTGCACGTAAAGTTTGGTATCATTCCGGGATGTTTAAGTATGATTCAGACGTATTCGTCAAAGTTTATACGTTTAAAAGTTTAAAGAAAGGTTTCGATCGTCGATTCATAGTTTTGATATTGTTCGATGTGATTTGAGGTTTCGATTAGGTTCACTATATATTTTATAACTTGTTGATATGTTCGGACGGGGTCCTAAGGGCCTCGGGGTGGAATCAGATTGAAATTGGGATCATTTTTGGGCTTGTTGATCGCTGAAGACTGTTGAAGTCTGGTGTCACCGCACCTGCAATGGGATTGGTCGTAGGTGCGGACACATAGGTGCGTAGGGGGTCATCGCAGAAGCGAAGAGGGCCGACTAGGGGGTGGGTCGCAGGTGCAGAGTTTGGAGCGCAGGTGTGCATCCGCAGAAGCGAAGAAGGCACCGTAGCTACGAAATCTGGGCCTTTGCTACTAGACTGAAGGTGCGGTTGTGTGCCGCAGAAGCGCACTCGCAGGAGCGGCCAGTGCTCCGTAGAAGCGAGACCGCAGGAGCGGATGTGGTCCACCGAAGCAGATTTGCTTGGGCTTAGTGGGAACCACACCTGCGATGAATTTTTTTCGCATGTGCGACTGTGTGGCCGTAGGTGAGAAATATCGCTAGGCAGAGGGGTGCTTTTAAATCGAGATTTAGCTCTAATTTCTCTCATTTTTCACTTGGATGGCCGAATTTATGGAGCTATTTTGAGGAGTTATTCATCAAGCAACACGAGATAAGTGATTTCCACTTATTGCAAGTTAAATACGTGAGTTATATATGGATTAAACATGAAATATTTTTGGGAATTGTGGGATTTTAAGAGAAAACCCTAGAATTGGTAATGTTGGATTTTGACCACGAAATTGGATATGGAATTAGAAATAAATTATATATTTGAGTTCGTGGTGTTATGGGTAATGTCTATCTTTGAAATTTTTTGGAATCTGGGCATGTGGGCTTAAGGATTGACTTTGTTGACTTTTCAGCAAAGTTGGATATTTCTATAAATCGACTAATTATGAGCATTAGAGTATATTTTTATTGGTTTGGACATTGACTGACTAGTTTTGGATCGATGAGCATTGGTTTGAGGTGTTAGAGAGGCGTTAGAGCCGGTTGTGGAGCTTCAGAGCGAGGTAAGTCTTCTGTCTAACCTTGTGAGGAGAAAATTATCCCGTAGGTGTTATATTGATTACATGCTACATGTTGTGGGAGCTACGCACGTACGAGGTGACGAGTGTCCGCGCATATGCTTGAATTCCTGATTATGTCCGAGTAGACTAAGATTCACACCATGTTTTAAATGTACTATTTGAGTTATCCTTGCTTGTTTAATTCCTTTATTTCGTGTGACGACCTAAGACTAGGCTTGTGTAGAGTGATAGCTTCAAAACCGTCTAAAAAATGGAGGAAATAAGCTGAAAATCGCGAATGTGACCTTTTATACTTTCTACCCAGGTATCTCGCACCTGCGGCTCCAATTCCGCATTTGCGGACCACTTCTGCGACAAAATAGCCGCACACCCAGTTTTTTCACTTAAGGGCCAAACATCCGCACCTGCGCCCCAGGCATCTTCCGCTCTTGCAGCCTAATCCGCTCCTACGGCTGCCTCCACGCACCTGCGATCATCGCACCTCGGTCCCCAATCCGCAGGTGCGGAAACAACAGAAGCAACAAATTTTATACAGCACAACTCCAAGTCCAACTCTCCGACAACCACCCAAAGCCATCCCAAGGCCCTCAGGACCTCAACCAAATATTCCAATAAGTCACATATCACCATTCAAACTCATATCAACCCTCGGAACACTCATAACAATGCCGAAACACCAATTCACCCTCGGATTCAAGCCTAAGGATTCCAAAACTTTCGAATTCCGCAATCGATCAAAAGGTCCATCAAACCTCATCCGAATGATCTGAAATTTTTCACACATGTCCCAAATGACATAATAGACCTACTCCAATTTCCAGAATTCCATTCCGACCCCGATATCAAAATTTCCACTACCAACTGGAAAAAGCCAAAATTCTTATTTCGCCAATTCAAGCCTAAATCTACCATAGACCTTCAAAATACATTCCAATCAAGCTACTAAGTCCCAAATCACCTCACGAAGCTATACGAACCATAAAAGCCAAGTTCCGAGATCATTTACTCACAAGTCAACTTCCGGTTAATTTCCAATTAAAGCTTTCCAAAAAGAGACTAAGTGTCTCATACCTCTCCAAAACCACTCCGAACCCGAACCAACCAACCCGATACTACATAATACAACTGAACACGAAATAAAGAAGCAGAAATGGGGGAAATAGAGCGGTAAATCATGAAACGACCGGCCGGGTCATTACACCAGTCCAGATACCTTTCTATGTCCGTTTGAGACGAATGTTGTTTAAGAGATGGAGAATGTGATGACCCGATAGGTCATTTATAGTTTTACCCTTCATTTCTGTGTTCTGAGACCTCGAATAGCTCCATTTAGCCTTTCTCGATTTGCATGTGCAGTCCATATTTTTTTTCCGAAGATTTTTATGTGAAAAATTGATAAAATGTGAAATTTTGCCTTAAAACTCATTTGAGTTGGCTGTGGTCAACGTTTTATATAAACAAACCCGAATTAGTATTTTGACGGTCCCAGTGGGTCCGTATCATGATTTGGGACTTGGGCGTATGGCCAGAATCGAATTCGGAACTCCCTAACTTGATTTAACATAATTTGGTGAAAACTAGCAATTTAAAGATTTATGACTTGTCTACAAAATTTGGTGCAAAACGGAGTTGATTTGATGTGGTTCGGGTGTCCGATTGTAAAATTGAAAGTTCTTAAGTTTCTTTTAAAATTTCATTCGTTTTGATGTCTGATTCATAGTTCTTGGTGTTATGTTGTTGTTTTGATCGCGCGAATGAGTTTGTATGATATTATTACACTTGTGTCGATGTTTGGTTTGGAGCCCGAGAAGCTCGGGTGTGTTTTAGATAGGTTGCGGAGTGATTTTGGACTTAGAAGAATAGTTGATGCCTTCACTATTGTTGGTGCTCTGCTGGAGATTTGGCTCGCATTTTCGAGCCTTGCTTTTGCGAACAAGGCTTCACATTTGTGAGCATGGTCTGGATTAGGGGAGTCTCTCATTTGCGAGGAGAATGTTCGCATTTACGAACTTGCAGCTTCCGCTTTTGTGAAGTAGAGTCACATTTTGTGAAGCAGAGTCACAATATATCCAAATATATAGTCCGCATTTACGAGGGGTATATGTTCGCATTTGCGACCAAAACGTCGCATTTGCGATGACTGACCTTCTGAAAAGGGGTCGCATTTGCGACCTTTTTCTCGCATTTGCGAACAAGA